AAAAAAAAAAAAAAAAAAAAAAAAAAAAAAAAAAAAAAAAAGCAAAGATCAGTGATATTCAGACAGAAACAAATTAATGGTCACAACTAGTTCAAACAGAGACCTTGCAACTCACAAGCCACTAGCAGTTACTCAGGGAACAGTTCAGAACAGTGCAAGTTCAGAGCCCTGTCTGCCCTTCAGCATCCAGGGACTGCACCTGGAGCTTCCCAAGCTGCAACTGCACCTAAATTACTGTATTTATCCATTGCAGACAGAAAAGACTGATTGCTTGTCTCTCAGGTGGCCCTGGACAGTTCCGAGCAGCATCGTCTAGCTTGCTCTTGAACTACAACATCTTGGGATACGTACCAGAAATTGTACATATTACTAGTCTTGTCCAGCTGATCTATTCCAATAATGCAAAAGAGCAGAAGGTCGTGCTATCTCCTTCTGCCTCACCCAGAGATGAGCCCACCTCACCAGTACCTGCAGTAGACTGGACATGCGAGTCGCTGCAAGTCCTGCACACAGCCGTCAGGAACTCATTGACCTGTCGCAAAGAGAGGGAGTTGTGCAGGGTCTCCAGGGGATAAATGGTGGGAACCATGGAACAGCCTTCAAAACCTGGAAAGAGACCCAACCAGAAAGTGAATAGAGCAAACGGCAGACTAAACCAATGCAGGACCACTCATGGCTGAAGGAGCGGGAGAGCCTGGCAATCAAAAAACAGGCACACTCAGGCCTAAGGTCACACTTTTTAAGTCAGGAAAATTGCCACTAGGCAATCACATGCAAAAACAGACCTGAAAGCAAGTGTGCAGGCACACGCAAAGGAGAAGGAGGGATATATCCAGCAGCAGCTCTTTGCTGCAGTCTTGGACTCTTGTTAATCTGTCTGGTAATTAGGAACAACTTATCCCAGAGCCCTGCCGTTTGCAGAAGTTGCCCTGGGTGAAGCCAGCAAGATGAGCAGGAGGACTCGCGCTGCTGGCGACTCCCGCGTGGGACACGGGACCCGCTCTGCCAGCCAAGGCAGTGCCAGAACCTGCCTCACACGCAGCAGAACCTCCAGGATAAGCCTGGGAGACTATCCCCAAAGCAGGGCGGGGAGAACAGCATGAATTACTTGTCCCCCAAAATAAGACCTCTTTGCCAACAACCCCAATACTAGTAGAAATTGGTATCTTGGCACTTCAAGCACAGAACGTCTCTTGCACAGAGCAAGGCTGCATCACAGCACTTCGCAAGAAATTCTTTGCTTCTCAAGCCACAGTGTTACAGCAAAGCATCTTTCTCCTCACCCCAGGTTCCTGGTAATGCCCTGTGACAGCAAGCCAACATGAAACAGCAAGAGGGGAGAGAGATGAGTCATTTGATTTATGGAAATAAGACCTCTTTCTGCTCTCTCTCTTACATTTAAAGACCTCTAAACTTCTTAAACCAGCCTTCCAGTTCTGTGACTCTTCATCTTCCCTAAGTAGATTTTTTTCTCTCTCCAAAAAAGCTGTGAAAAGGAATGGGGTTTGTTCCTATTGTTAAGGAAAGTTCCTTTGAAATACAAAGAAAACCACAGTTCTTGATTTGTTGCTACTGTTTCAAGACTGCAGCCCCCCCCTCCAGCACACCACCCCCAGGCTAAAACTGATCCCTGAAGCTTGACAGCTTCCCCTACTAAGGGGAAGAACTTGAGTTCCTGGATTATCTGCCAAGGCTGCCCAGTCACCCACAAGGCTTATTCCAGCAATCTTCAAGTTTCAAGGAATGGCCTCTGCTCCGATGCATTTGCCTAACACAGCTCTGCAACGGCAATGAGGGTAAGCAAACAGACGGTGTGTAAAGTGAAGCTGCATGCGCCTTGGAAAGAGGGCAGAACACCCCCGGCGTGYAGAGCTGCAGGGACGTCTGCTGCCCTTCCAGTCATCTCTAACAGTGGGAGAAAGAGAACGCTGTGGCCCGTCCAGAGGGTACCTGTGCCACAAATGGCCTGCACACATTAATTCAAATCATAAAGGGTAATACATCCTTGCACAGGAGGAAAGAATGTAAGCTACACAGAACTTCCATGCTCTTGTGTCCCTTGCTGAGAAGTCCTTTGAGCAGAAGTGCTGAATAAACAAGAGTCTCTCGTCATTATTTTCACATAGGTAATCTGGGAAACAATCTAAAGGAAAAGGAGGAGGAAAGGACTGAAAAGAACAGCAGTGTGGACATGGTTGTGGAGCAGAATATGAGGCTAATGTAATTTCACAATCTGGTTTAAAAGAGCTGGCTCAGCTATCTGGGTCTCCAAAGAGAAAGAGAAGGTATTTAAGTTTCACATAGGGCAGGGCAGAGTAGTTCCAAGATGCAGCAGGAGCACTGATAAGGCGCTGAGCACATGGGCACTCCTACAGCACAAAGGAAGTCCAAGGTCCAGTGTTAATGGAAATATGACATTGAGAATGCTAGAGATGTGAAACAAGGTGCCTGGATCTCAGTAGTGCCAAATGTTCACTAGCACAGCTTTGCCCAGAGCCACGGAATGCAAGTGGTTCAAATTAAAAACGAGGAAACAGCAAGTTTCCTTTCTCAGAGAGAAACACCACTCTTGAAGCATGTCCCGCCACATGCAGTACAGCACAGCTTCCCGGCACACCACCCTCCTCCTGCCTACCAAGGCCAACAAGGGCTGTTTCCTGCCACCGCAGCAGCACCAAAGAGGAAACGACTGCCAGAGGCCATAACTATAATGAGCGTGACCAGCAGAGTCCCTGGTAAAGGATCTCACCACTGCTGCACGGACACGCTCAACAAAAACGACATCTTGGGGAAGAAGTAAGAGAAAGCGCAAGTGCAGAACCTGACAGGAACACGGTGCTGGCAGCTCATCCATGCAGATGCTGCCTGAAACTCTTCCTGGTCTACACAACAGTTGCCTCTGATGTGGATGCCTGCACAAGAAATTCAGAAACCCACTCATTTTGTACCGGAGGCTTAAAGCAGCCCAGACAGAAACAGGCCTAATTTTGTTTTGAGTTTGACTACGCTAGTTGCATTAAGGATGCACACATTAAGGACAATATTCTCCCTCCAGAATTTGGCCTGTCCTGCAGTGAAAAGTGCCTACATAAGGGTTGTGCAGACCAGAGTAACAAGAAATGAATCCCAAACTCAACTGTAATCTTCTCTAGGAAGGGAGGACAGTCTCAAATTTTTATTCAGTGAAATAAAAAGAAACCATCTGTCAGAGTGAGGCAGACAAGTCTCGGGAACAGAGGGACCTAGAGGCCCACGGGCAGGCTTGCTGAGCACCTATTGTGTGCAGGTGCCGGCAGAGCACGCGCGACGTGCGGAAATGCAGAACCAGCCCGACACAGCAGCAGAGCCCAGCTCTGTCCRCGGGGCTGCTCTGCAGACGACAGCAAGCTGAGGTATAATCCACACACAGCATTTCAGAGCCTGCTCCAGCTCTCCCAGGCACATGGATGCTAATGGTGAAGCTCTGGCCAAATTACAGCTCACTACATTCCAGTTTTGATCTTCTCTCCAAAGTTTCACACTCCTGACATTTGCATTTATTTCTGAGAACCACTGGAGAACCTATGCTGATTCACCTCAAAGTCTGCAAGCAAATTAATGTGAAGTTGTTAGCAGACCTAAAATAAGCAGATTTTACACTGGAGAAAACAAAACCTTGAACACACTAGCAATTTTCTTCATTACTTTTATACAGGAGACGTGCCAATCTAGAAGAACAACAATAACAAAAACAAACTAAACCCTCCAAAGAAAACCAATTATCATTAAATTYAATGGAAGCATCTAATCTAAATCAAGGTAACTCATGAGTTTCCTAAATTCTATACATGCCCTAAGGAGATTAAAAAAAAAAAAAAAAAAAGTTTCCTGTTTAGCACGAGTTGGTAAAGCTAAATTTATATTGGCAAATAGTTCCCAGAATACAATCAGCAGAGGTGGGATTACCTTCAGAGTTGATAGCTTTGTAACCAGTCTAGGAAACTGTTATATTCCTTCATGGAAGGCAGGACAAAGCAGCAATTCTCATGCCGCCAAAACAGTTTGTTCCTCAGCTTTATTAATATTGATCCGAGGTCCCCAATATGGCAACCTTTTGCACTAGTTGAGGGACACAGTTAAAGGAAAGAATGCACTTGCTGCTCCAATATGCTGGTAAGTACAAAGAAGTTACGCTGAACAAGAGCAGTAACTTGACTACAGTCAGCCAAGAGGAAAAAACTGAGGCCAAAGAGGACTCAAACAAGAAGTCAAAATTCACCAGCAATCCTTTCTGTGCATTATAATTTTGCCAAAGATTTCTGAACACCAGCACAAACAACTTGATTGTCCAAAGTAACCAAGTTACTACCAGCTCTCCAACTGTGAGCTCCACGTTGGCATGGAGAAGGTGCCCATTCCTTTGTGACAGATGTTCTGAAAGGAAAAGGCAAACCAAAAGGGACCTCCAACCTTTGGGAAAGGCCATCAACACCATTATCGGCTCTTCTGAAGTAGAGAAAGCACTTGCCTGGTCTCAGCACCGATTCTGAAGGGTTTGGGAAAAAAAAAGTTCTTCTCCAATATGCTTGGTCAGGCCAATCTTTGTGATAACATCAACACATATATTCATATGTTCTTATACACGTGTATGTAATGTGTACACAAACTAGTTTTGCTTTCAAAACATCTGAACAGTCAGTTTGAAGGTTTATTCTAGTCCAGCATCCCTTCACCTACAGTACTAAAAACAGATATTCAAAGAGTATTAGCCTAGAGATCCCACACAGCGATTCTTCCTCCAAACACACCACAGGCTCTAGTGACCTGCAGCTCAAAGCTGTCCTAAACTTGATACATCTCTTCTATGAGATCTTCCTGTCTCCCTGTGAACTCAGACAAGCTTTCAACATCCCTCATGTGCTGTGCTGAGGAGGTCCTCAATGTGTGAAAAAAAGACTTCAGTCTGAACGTGCTTCCGATTCATTCCACTTGAAATCTCTTATTTCTTGTACTGGAATATTAGAGAGATGCCCCAATGGCTCCTCTCCATGCCACTCAAGTTCATACCACAGTCATGTTTCCCAGACTGCAGATTTCTAGTTCTCCCATCCCTTCTCAAGTGGTGATAGCAAGCTTAGAGCCTCACATTTTACATACAGATTTGGGCCATGTCCCCCTCCCATTTCATAGTTGCCTACACTGAACATAACCAGTTCTTTTACTGCCTAGTCACTCACAGTCATAAGGTCTGTCTATTCCTTCACAGCTGACCTTTGTCTTTAGTACCTTGCAGTTCATTAACAACATGAACTAAATCCACGCTCTTCCTTTTCTGAACGATGTGCTGATGAGTGCAGGCTCACAAGCAGATCCCTTCTAGGCTCCAGTGCTGTTTTTTATACCTACCTTTCTACCTTCTACTTACTCACATACTTCTGACTCCCTGTCCCAGTCTTGGGAGAAAGCTCATGTTTCCTTTGTGTGGATAGAAGGACGATTGAAAGACAAGAAAGAGAAGATAGTTGTATACAGTTATTACAGTGGGGGTAAGTAGGATGTCAGCTGCAGGGGCTGGAGAAATGTCTGCAGAACCTCTGCAGAAATCCCAAACATGCCAAGTAACTGTAGACGTGAGGTCAATCAGACTTGGAAAACTGCAAGAAGGAACTTCACTAACTCATTGCACAGATCTGACTTCCACACAGAGAAGAGAAGCTACTAAAAGCTTCTGCATGCAGCTTAAAAAAATTGGCTGCACTAAGATGGGCTCCACGAGCCACCAGCATGCTGCAGTACTTGGGTCGCCAGTGCCCAAAGCGCTAAGGTTCATGTCTTCTCTCYCCTGAGCGCACACAAGATGCCTGACATCTGCAGTAGGGCAAGCTCAGCTTTGGCTTGGGAGGAGTCGGTTTTGTGCCAGCATCTCTCTCCTTGAAGTGATTTTGCTCCACTTTCGTATTAGTTGCTAGGAGACCAGGGATTATCCTAATTATATCTGAAAAGCAGTTGTGATCTCCAAGTTGTCTGCTTAAGAAAAGCCATACAGAAGAAGAAAAAGAAGAAAAAAAAAAAAAAAAAGACAGTGTGTGTATATATATATATATATATATATATGAAAATTTTTGATGTTGTTTCTTTGCCAGACAAAATCTGGCAAATACATACTCTTTGATGTCTGCCCCTATGAGCCTGAATGAAAAAGGGGATCCATGCATCACAGCACACAGTTCAGCAGCAAGCTACATGCACCCAGCAAGTTTTATGGTGCAAAGTGAATATTAACAGCCAAGTCCAGCCAGCTTCCCTTCACAAAAACAAGTCTTTCTACTTGTCTTAGAAGCACTGACATGTCAGTGCACCAGACCTCCCCCTTGTGCCAGAGGCTGAGAAATACCACAGCAACAGCAGCACTCTTTGGTTCGTAACATCCAGATCCAATTCTGCAGCTGCCTACCTCTCCCCATCGCAGACGTGAAACACTGCAGGAGTCCAAATAGGCCGAAGAGGTGCCATGCAATGCAGAAGCAACATTTCTGTGGAAATAACCCAGTCCTCCAAGCCACCACTTCCCCTAAGTTTCCACAGCAAGCTCACCCGCATGTGACCAGCTGCATGGCCTCCACAACCTCATTCTTCCCATGCTTTTACTATCTACTTTGGTTTCTGCCTTGATAACTATAGGAACACCAAGAAGCACCCCACTAAAGCCTGCAAAGCAGTATCATGTCAGCAGAGCATCACACAGGACAGAGCTCATCATTTCAGATAAGGACACTCAAAAGAAGCTTAAGGGCTTGCCCTGGCTAGAGAAAGAAGGCAACAAACAATTGCCAAGAACAGAAAGAGCAGTTACAGCTACACACAGAACACTGACTCCCTGTGGAAAAGCCTCTTCCTACAAGCTCCAAAACTGCCTGGTGTAGCAGCCCACACGCCTTGCTGCAAGAGCAGCTCAGAGATTCAAGGGATGCAGAGAGGGAAATGCTTTCCTTCCTTAAAAGCAAAGCATACTTTGCATTCTCAAGCAGACACTGGTCCCTGCTTGGCTACAGCAGCATGGGGCCGAGGCGGCTGCAGCGTGCAGTACCGTAAAGACACTCCAAGTCATCCTGCCCTGAGATCAGCCAGCTCCTGAAGAGACGCAGGTGGTAGGAGCACTGCTGCAGATGGTGGGCTAGGGTAGCATCCAGGCAGATGTTCCGGCTCGTGGCATAATCAGAGGAAAAACGGCGCAGCAACTGGGCAACGTGGTGGTGCTCAAATGCATCTGGAGGAAAGCGGGCCATAAGGAGTGAGAGGAGAGCGGGAGGTAAAGCTGGGAAACAGAAAAATATGAAGACGCAAGGAACAGAGCTGCCAGCTGCTGGGTGGGAGAAGACCTGCCCCACATGCTGAAGCCCAGCTCCCCACAGTGTGCAGATCAGGAACATCCTTAGCGCCGCATATCCGTCTGCAGGCAACAGCCCAGATTCCCCCAGCAAGCACTGCTGCAACCCGGGAGCTGCCCCAGCACAAGCTGAGTAATAAGGCTTCACGTTTGTAAGAGAATATCAGACAAACAGTTAAATCTAAGTACACACTCCAAGTCCAAGACAGCTCAGGTTCAGCTATGTAAAAAAGTCACTCCCAACCTAGCCATTCCCCAGCCAAAACAAGGAATCTCTTGCTACAGTCCTGCACCCAAATGCAGCCTGTGACTTTGGCACACGGATGAGGACAAGCGAGCTGGCACTACAGGCCTAGGGGACGGGGAAAGGGCAGCCAGGGACAGCAGGCTTTGCCTGAGAGCGCAGCCCTAGGGATTCTGACAAACAGAGAGCGCTCAGGAGCGCTGATCTGCCCTTTCTGGCCTCTCGCGGCAGCCCTGTGCAGTGTGTTCAATGGCCCTGTCACCGCACAGTGCACAAGATACCAGCATACAGGTCCACTCCTCCCTCCAATTTAGGGTCTCGGGTCGCACGTCTTCCTCCCAAGGTGCACAGGGCCAGGCCAAAAACCACCCGCTCTCACTTTCTGCTTGGCAACCACTYTGGTTCACCCATCCCATCTCACCAAGCAGAAGCAGCTCTTTAGAAACAAAATCTAGATTCAGAGATATGAATATTTTGTACATCCTTAGATGGGTGCTCAGGTACTAAATATTCTTCCTGCTAAAAGCAGTTGTCTAGCACAGACCAAACACGTCTAACTTCAACCTCACACTTCCTGGATATCTATCTTAGCTTCACCGATTAACACTTTGCAATAAGAAATATTCATTTCATTTACTGGAGGAGGAAAAAAAAAAAGAAAAAAAGATGAACAATTTCCTTTCATTGTTTTACAGTGTGGCTTAGAAAAGACCAGTGCTTGGTGCAAGTTTCCTCAGCAAGCCAGGATGATGCACCCTGCTGCAATGCACCACGTGTGCTCCAACAGCTTCCAGAGACACACAACAAACTGAACAGACGCTCGCTCTGGGGAAAAAAAAGTAAGGAAACAGAAGATATATCCCACTCAAATATCTGAACCACATTTAGCTGCCCCTTCCACTTTAATCTTTCCCAAAACTCTGWTTTTTAGTGACAGTTTTCTGAATATCTTTCAACTTCCATTTCGCACAGAGCAGAATTTCTTCATATTTACTAAGCTTCAAGATCCCAGAAGCAGGCTTTATCACATAAGAGAAAAATATCAAACTTGACGTCTTTCAGCAGTCTGTTTTGGTCCTAACTTGCCTCAACAGCAGGAGCCATGAGCTATGGGGAGGAGCAGTAATGTGAATATTCCACTTGCGGAAGTTGGATTCTGCACAGGCGAAGGTAATAGAAACCTTGAGTCACCCACTGCAAGTGAGCCAGCTGTCTTTGTAGCCTCCAAAGACACTCCGTTCAGGTGTTATGTCAGCAGCAATACGAAGCAGGGCTGGGCAGGGCATGTGAGCACTGTCAGACACCCCACTCTGCTGCTGACACGAGGGAGGGAAGCGGGTTACCCCTCCGCAAGGAGCACCGTGCTGACGCACGCTGCCTCACCTGCTGGAAAGCACCTCCACGGAGAGGGACCTGGGAGTYCTGGTTGACACTAAGTTAACCATGAGTGAGCAGTGTGCCCTCGTGGCCAAGAAGGCCAATGGGATCCTGGCCTGCATCAGGAGGAGTGTTGCCAGCAGGTCCAGGGAGGTGATTCTGCCCCTCTCCTCAGCTCTGGTGAGGCCRCACCTGGAGTACTGTGTTCAGTTCTGGGCACCCCAGTATAGGAGGGACGTGGAGCTTCTCGAGAGGGTCCAGAGAAGGGCAACCAG